TTCCTGTTATTAATGTACGATTTAATTCCATGTGGTTACAGAACATCCTTTGTATAATTTGAATCCTTTTGATTTTTTGAGAAGTATTTTGTGACTGAATGTATTCTGTCTTAGGAAATGTTCCATGTACATTTGATAAGGATGTTGATAAGGATGTGTATTCTGCTCAGTTTGGGTAGAGTACATTTTTACCTGTCAGATTGTCCAGTTTGACTGACTACTATTGACTATTATATCCTTGTTGATTTTCTATATTTTCTCTGTCAATTTATTATAAATTATTATATTTCATGATACTTATGAATTTATACATTTCTCCTCGCATTCCTATCAGATTTTGCTTTATGTATTCTGATGCTGTGTTAATAGGCACATAAATTGGACTGTTTGGTCCTCTTGGTATAACATTCCCTTTATTGTTTGACAATTCTTGATAATATTCTTTGCTCTGAAATCTATGTAGTCATTGTTCTTAGTAACAGTTTTACTCTAAAACCTACTTCATTTGATGTTGGTTTACCTACTTTGGTTTTATTTTCATTGCTGTTTTATGGTATATCTTTTTCTGTATGTTTTCTTTTGACCTGTTTTTGTATGTGTGCTTGTATTTAAAGTAGGGGTYTTATAGGCAGTACTTAATTAGTTTAGATAACAAACCAAGGACTAATAGTCTCTATCTTTTAATTGGGGTGTTTAACTATATTTATTCAATATAATTATTGATATGATTTTGTTCAAATACACCACCTTGCTGATTTAAGTTTCCTATTTGTTCTATTTATTCTTTATTCCCTTTCCCTAGCTTTTCTGCCTTAGTTTAGTTTAGTTTCTTTTCTTAATTGTAGTTTGACACAATAGTTTTCTAGTTTATTTTTGTGTGTGTGGGGGGTGCTAAGGTTCAAACCCTGCAAGCACATTACTGCTGAGTCATAACCCCAGCCCCTAGTGTTTCCATTTTATGCCCTTCATTGGTCTATTAGATATTCCTCCACGGGGCRTTGTTTTAGTTTTTGCTTCAGTGTTTATAGTACACACTCTTAACTTATCAGAGTCTGCCTTCACATGTTATTGTAACCCTTAACATTTCAGRTAGTTTCTATTACTATGTCTTTAAGGTCAGTTTTTTTCTGTATTGCCTAATAAAAAATTAATTTGTCTTTGCAGTCATTTTTCACTTCTAGAATTTCAACTAGAGTTTTCTTTATYTTTCCTGTCTGAACTTTTAAGTTCAGATTGTCCTCTAGATTTTTGAACTCATTTTTGAACAAGCTGTCTTAAATATCTGCATCTACTAATTCTATCTAGTATGTCAAGTCAAGGTCAGCTTCCATTTATTTTTCTATTTTGGATAGTTTTCTCCTCTGCTTTGTATTTTTGATGGTAGACACTGTATTTTATCTTGTTGGTGCTGGGTATTTTTGTAAATACACTTGAGCTTTGTTGTGGGGCATGTGCAAGCTATTTGGAAACAGTTTGATCCATTTGGTCTTGCTTTAAGCCTCCTTGGGGATGAGAGCAGTGTTCATCTAGGGTACTTGCCACCGCAGAATATCCCGTTTGCATTTGACCCTGTGCATTGTGAAGTTTTCTAGTTTGACTGCTGGGAAAGGTCTGTTTCCAGCTCTATGTGGAGCCTGCTGACTGTTCCCTCCCATGTTTCCTGGTGTTCTGCCTCAGGTTCCTCACATGTGTACAGTGATTGGTGCTCTCCTCAATGCTTGAGCAGTAAGTACCCTTTGCAGTTCTCTGAAATTCTCTCTGTGCCACTCTCTCCTTGTGCTCTACCCAAAGACTCTAGCCTTCTGTCTTCCATTGACTTCCAGCTCTGTCTCCTCAATGTAGGGAGACTGCTGGGCTTGTCCTGTGCCTTGTCTGAGGACATTTTCTAGGCATTCCCCTTGARCATTGCAGGATTTATCTCAGTTTCTTTCTTCTTATTTCTTTGGGATAACTGTATTTGTTGCCTGATGTTCAACGTCTAAGACACATTTATTTCCTATATTTTTCCTTTTTTWAAAAAAGTACTGGTGGTGATGGAAATATGGTTCCTATTACTCTGCCTTGGCTAGAAGCAGWAGCCTTCCACTAGAATTTTGAATAAACTATTTTGAATAGACTATTTGAAGGTGTTAGGAAAGGATTATGAGATAAGCACCAGTAATAATGGCAAACTTAAAGTCCAAGAAACRTTTGGATCCATGGGAAAGTACTTATTGTTAAAGTACAGAAACCACTACCTTCTAGTGAACTCTTAAGGGAGAGTACTTGAATAGGATCCCTTCAAAGCCCTCCTTCAAGACACCCAGGCTGCCTTTACTTCTCTCCTCAAGCATACATGTTCTTGTTGGCTATGTGTGATGCTGGGCTGGAAGAGCCATTGACAAGTCCCTGCCTGGGTTGCATCTAGAGAGCCTCCAGCAAAGTAGCAAAAAGGAGGAGACCTACTGTGTGCTTACTGCATGCACTAGCCTAGCATACCTCATCTCCATGGTGTCATGTGGAAATGTGGGGGGCCGAAAATATCCTAGTTAAATACATTAGCTGTACCTTCCCTCTTTTCTCTCTTTTTATTTTAGAGAAATGCCATGGCATGGAGAACAGTTAGAGGAACTAAAAATAGCATAGAGGAAAAAGCATCAACAGCAGGTCATGAGGGTCACCTCAAAACAGTGGAAGGGACCATCCATGTAGAGGGGGGAAAGGCTGTTCAGATGATCCTGTGGGAGAAAAATTAAGATGAGAAGGTAGAAGCGATGCAGTGCCCTTTTGAACTCAGTACAGGAAGACCTTACAGTAAGCTGCTCAGGGCGAAAATTCAGACAGCAGAGTGCAGAAGTTAAATGCCCTCCAAACCCCACTACATTTATTTTTCCTGGCACTGCAGTAAGTGGGTTTTTGTATATTTTTCCTGTGTCTTACAGGTTAGTCTTTATACAATACCATGGTTCTCACACTTTAGCATCTCTCAGATCACCTGGACTGCAGCCTGAGAATTTGTGTTTCTAGCCTGTTGCCTGGTGATACTGATGCTGATTTTTTTCTGAAACCAAACTTTTGAGAATCACTGAGACCATATTCTTTTTAAAAAATAATACATGTGGGGTCATATTAAGGGTACCAAAAGTAAGATATCATCAAAGTGTCAATTTTAGGGKCTGAGGTTGTGGCTCAGCGGTAGAGCGCTTGCCTAGCATGTGCAAGCCCCTGGGTTCCATCTTCAGCACCTCATAAAAAATAAATACATAAAGGTATTGTGTCCAACTACAACTAAAAAAATAAAATAAAACATTTTAAAAAGTCAGATTGTTAAAAAAATTTCAATTTTAGTTAAGTGTAAAATTATATCTGAGTATTGTTTTGATTTATGGTCCCTGCATTATTTGGGAAGCTGAAGATTCACATTTTCCTTGTATTTGACTTCCTGTGAACTGTAGGTTATATTCGTTGCATTACAAGAGAAATAACAATATGGAAGAAAGCACCAGACCTCTCTTTGAAGGGTGCTGGCAGTTTTGCAGTGTTGGGGCATAGGGTGCTGATACGGGGAGGGAGGTCAGGGCACGGGTATTGACTGTGGGCAGATAGTATCAGAACTTAGAGGTTTTCATGGGCCAAAAAAAAGATTTGGGGCTTTATTTTGAGAAGTAGCATTGGTGTTCTTTAAGTTTATACTTTGGTGTGTCAAAGTTTCGATAGAGCCTTTTGTGGAATGGCAGGGTATCTTGTCTTAGTTCCCCAAGTCTAATGTTTAGTCTTCAAACAGCTCCTTCTTAAGCCCTTTCTTTCATCTTGGGCTTTAAAGCCACCTGGTCATGTTTCATAAACAGGTAAACACAAGAATAACCAAAAACCTCATGCACCTGGATTGGTATTGTCTTTGAGGAAGGAGTTTTGCAAGATCTCTCAAAGAACATACTTGGTGGCTTTACCTGATGGGACCCTGAATCCTTCCTAAGTTTGCTGACATCTGAGGGCAGTCTACTTTAGGTGGGTGGGTCCTTCTGTTGTTTTAATTTGAGTGAATTTCTGGGAAAAKCTATGGATTTCAGCCAATATGCTAATGATAATGGCATTGCTTTGAAAGTCTGGTTAGTTCTGTAAAGAATCATTTCATAGTTAATTATGTTAGCAAATCAACAGCAGTCTCTTAAAGAGGAAAGCAATGGGGGAGAGACTACATATATACTTAAATTATTCAGAACTCAAAGAAGGGTCAACAGTTCAGTTTAAAAAGAGAAATCCATGKAAGAATAAATCACTAGGTTTGCATATAATTTTCTGTATGGGTGTAACTTTATAATGGGCATATAAGGGATTAAAATTAAATAGCTTTGCATGTGGAATTAGGAGACATCAGCCTCATCCTGTGCCCTTTCTAACATTTTTCTGATTCTGAGAGTGGGAAAACATCAAATCCAAACCTTGGCTTTTGATGAACTCAAGGAGGTCCATTGGGTTTGAAAGATAGACTGATGCGGTTGGGGTTCAGTGATGCTCATCTGGGTGAACTCCCTTTTTGTCTTCCTTTCTCTTCCTTCCTGTGCAAGTGGGACTTGTTGCTATGGGGAAAGACTGCTCCAAAGAGGAGGGTGGTGCATCAGCCACAAGCTATAGTGCTTCTAGACTCTCCAGAAAGAGAGAATCCTTAGGGTCTTTTTATTTTAATAGATATTTGACTATTCTATACATTAATAGTCCCCTCCTCCACCATCCAGTAATCCCTTATTACTATGTTACATTACATGTGCTTGCCTGTACAAGGCTATAGGATTTATTGAGACAAAAGGTGATCTTTATTAATCAGAGCATCGGGGAGACTTTTCTAAAGTTTGTCTGAGAAGGTTTCACAGGATTAATGGACTGGAAATATCGTTCCGAGTGTGTCCAGGATGAAGGCACCTTGGTTAGTGTGGAAGTCCTCATCATTTCAGGGATGGTAGGTAGAGTTTGACAATGGTTGGGACAAATGTAAATTTATATATCGCCTCTTCCTTCTCTAGGCTTTGTGACCATCAGCAAGAGATTGATCCTGTCAACATTTCAGCTTCTTCAAGTGTAGAACAACATATATCACTGTGAGTGTTATCAACATGGACTCCCCTCTCCCATTCTTTGCAACGGGAGGGCCTTGGGAGGGCAACAAAACAGGCATTAGGAAAAGCAAGGAGTTTTTTTTGTTGTTGTTGGAACCCAAGGAATGGACAGAAGAGATGGGAGGGAGTCAACAAGGTTTTCATGGAAGAAGGTGTGAGTGATCCAGAGTCGAATGAGCTCAAAGGGGATGTTTGTTGGCGGAGTCTGGGCTTTCTTCTGAGGAGAGGGGTTTTCATTTGTGATTTCCTTAGGAACTGTGTTGTGCATTTGACCACAGCCATAGTTAATTTTGTATCTTCTCTGTTTTGCTGTTTCTCTGTTGCAAGTGTGGCTCTTGGAAGGTGTTATTTTTGGCCACCAAACAAGACTGGATCACCACCCATCCAGGGCTGGATTAGTTTTGATCCCTGTGGCTCCCACTTTATGAGGCAGACATGGGGATTTAGGGAAATTTGATTTTTCTTTTGGGATCCAACTTAAAAATTTTAAAAATAGCCAATTTTTCTACTGTCTTATTGATTTAACACCTTACCCTTTGTCTAGCTGCCTTACATTTATTCTTAGAAATAGGCTCAGTACAGATCATAAAAYGCCCCCAAATAGGTCAGAAGTGGTGGCACATGCCTGTAATCTCAGCACCTTTGAAGGCTGAGGCAGAAGGATTACAAATTGAAAGCCAGCCTCAGCAATTTAGGTAGACCCTAAGTAACTTAATGAGACCTTGTCTCAAAATAAATAATAATAATAATAAAAGGGCTGGAAAGTAGCTCAGTGGTAAAGTGCCCCAAGGTTCAATCCCCAGTATAAAAACAAAACAAAATTAAAAAGCCTTGAAAAATATCAGGTTCTGATCTGGTTGATTAGAACTGTTGTAACAGTGAAGTGGTCCCATCGTTGACTAACTACGTTCTGTCAAGAAAGGTAGAGCTGGGACAGGGTGCTTTGGTCCCTAAAATGTAGATGGCCATGCCAACATGAAGCCGCTGTCCACTATATGCAATTTTACTTGGTGCATTAGGTTTGGCTTGAAGTAGGTATCCTGGAAATAAGGAATCACCCTTCGATTTTTAAATTCAGGTCTTTCTTCAGGGTTGGGTAAGGGGATTGAATTCAGGGATACTCAACTAATGAGCCACATTCCCARACCTATTTTGTTTTTTATTTAGAGACAGGGTCTCACTGAGTTGCTTAGTGCCTTGTGGTTGCTGAGGCTGGCTTTGAACTTGCTATCTTCCTGCCTCAGCCCCTGAGCCACTGGGATTATGGGCATGAGCCACCATGCCCAGTTTAAAATTCAGATCTTCACATTTATCTCACTCTGTTTAGGCTGTTATGACAGAATACATGAAGTGGGTGGTATTCATTCTCACGGTTCTGGAGGCTGGGAAGCCCAAGGTCAAGGCTTTGTACATTTGGTATCTGGTGAGGACTGTCTTCTGGGTTGCTGACTTCTCTGTGTCCACACATGGTGGAGGGAACAAGGAGTTCTCTCAGACCTCTTTCATAATGGTGCTTACACCACTCCTAAAAGCGCTTCTCTTATGACCTAATCAGCTCCCAAAGGCGCCACCTYAATACTATCAACACATGAATTTTGGGGAAACACAAACATTCAGACCCTAGCAATATCTGACTGTCAACTCTTAAAAAAATAAGAGATCATATATTTTTTGCTCCTTTTTCCCAGTCTCCTGGCTTAGAGAAGGCACTTCATATTTGTTTATTGGAAATCAAGCTTTTAGATATGGTAAGAACACCCAGGAAAAAATAATACATATTAGAGGATTGTGGTGTCAGGAGGTGATTTGTCATTGGAAGCAGAGGTCTCCAGATGTGAGTGGGAAACCCTCAGAGTAGAGAAGGGGGTTTGTTGGTGTGGTTTCTGTTTGTTTGTTTGACATTTRGATTTTCTTCTGAGTCTCTGAGAACTGTCAGTTTCATTATCTGTTCCTTCTCTGCATTATGGACTTTTCCTGGGCAGGAAGAATTTGGTGGGTAATATTTGTTGGATTAAAAAAAATGTCTTCTTTTTCTTTCYTTCTCTCTTTCCTTTCTTTCCCTTCTTCCCATTCACCCAAATCAAGGAGTTTCTACTTCTTATTCTCTGAATCATGCAATCTTTTCCTTGCTGTAGTTCAGTTTCCTCTTTGCCCTCTCCCCCCTTTCCTGCRTTCCCTCTCCCCACTGTATTTTCTTTTCCCTCCCACCTCTTATTCTCCTTATCAGACTCTTTTACTTGCTCTTGATCTGCCACAGGCCAGGTCTTCTGTTAGACATGARTGCCAGACATCAGTGATGAGTAAAATATTGTCTAGCTCCCTTGCCTAGATAAGGTTCAGGTTCAGCTTCTCAGCAGCTGTTTGGGATTGTTTCACTGCTATTCCCTTCCTTTCTTGCAATGCCAGAAAATGTACTGGTCACCCCAAATTTGACCAGAAGTATGCTCGTACTGCCACACACAGTCCATACCAGGCCACAGCTATGTCTGGATGGGAGATGTCTTGTGTAGTTGCTACAGACTCCACAAGTTTGGGGAACTCAGCATGTGTTTGGATTTCTTTGGAATCAGCATTGAGAACCTGACAATTTGTAAAAATCTCTCTCCCAAACTGAAAGTCTTAGGGAGGATTGAGAAGGGGGCCAGCGGCCTTTCACTTTAAGAGGAAATCTACCTGTTAGCAAGCCACTTCTTTTCTGCTGTGTGTATTGCAGGTAGAGCCAATGGAGAAGCACTTATTGTCACCAAATTAACTCTTTCCCTTGCATCCCAGCTCACCATTTTAGAGCAGTGAGATTTGTTTAAAGAGGTAATTAATGCTTTCAGTTATGGAGAATGAAGTGGGCAGGCTTGTTGCTTCTCTTTGTCTTCCCAATCTTTCCAATCTCTGGTTACAGTATAACCAAATAATAAATAAATGTGTGAGGCTCCAGTGTATGAGTTACCACCAGCAGAGTCCAAAGGTCAAAGTTGAAAGAGTTTTGAATTCCTCCTGATTCCTGGGACACTGCTTCTGTAGACACTATCACCAACAAAATCCATCCTGGAGGAGTGACCCTTTAAGAAATAGGATCCAAGGTAAGGTGAGCTCACCCACTTTGGAAGGATGTAATCCTGGGGGAAGATCTGATGGCTACTAGGTTATTTAGGGGGATAAAAGGAAGAAACAGTCCCCAGGTGGTGGGTGTTTAGCAGTGTATTTGTAATGTTTACCCCCTTCTGAGGATTCCTGAGACAGTTTTGCAAAGAAGGGCCTTAATTTCCAGGTCCCTCTTTCCTTTTCTGAAACAGCATTTGAACAGCTTGCACATTTGATGAAGAATCAGCTGCGAAGTTTGTGGTTTCCTGTGGCACATTTCTAATAATATTTATACAGGCCATTATTTAATGAACCGTTTAAATATTTATCATACAGAGCTGTTTTTTGATCATAAATAGGGGCTCAAAGTCAGCACAGCCCCTGCTGGGTCCCCGGGAAGAGAGCCATGTCAGCTCTTTGGGACGTCTGGTAGACTGAGGAGTGAGGTATGTCTCAGGATTCATGTGCTGAACAGCTTGAATTTCCCTTAGTATTTTACTTTCTCTTGGCTGTCCACAGTCTGTGTCTTTGTTTCTCTCTGCCTGACCACTCTTACTTTATCCCTGACAGCTTTTTTTCTTTTTAGTATTCATTCATACCTAAAAAGAAGAAAATGGAACCAAATTTCTGACTCTCCGCATTTATAAAGGGGCTTCGGAGTCACACCACCGTGGCCTGGAATCCTAGGCCTCTGTGCTGTGTGACCTCAACTAGCTTCATCTCTGAGAACCTCAGTTCACTTAACTGGAAATGGGCTCCTCCTGGGAGCCCTATAAGGGTAGTCAAAGAGTCAATCAAAATTGTGAAGTCGTGTGGGTGATTTACAGAGCAAAGTTCAATAAATATGAGTTCTTGCTATATTTGTTGTTGGTGTTGTTATGTCACCAAAGGATTTGATTTTCAGTTTCAGCTTGGTGTTGTGGAAAGAGTCCCAGACTTACCCTCAGAAACTGGAGTTGAGATCCTGGTCTTGCTGTGTACTGTTTGTGTGACTTTGGACAAACTGCTCTCACTCCACTGGTGTATAGAATGGTGATAGGTTTGCCTTCCTGATTGGGTTCCCTGCATGCGGTGAACACATGTGTGGAAATGTTTGACACAATGAGGATCCTAATCCTTTTCTCTTCAAAACAAACTAGAAAAGGGAATAACATTTTCCTTTTTTCGGTTACTTTCTTTTGTGACTTAGAGGTACTGGTTAAATGGTTTGGAGTCCAGGACACAGCAGACAGTGCTTGTGACCCAAGGACAAAGGGCAGAGAAGGGGAGAACAAGGGATTTGCATTGCAAAAAATCCTCTGGCAGTGTTTTTGTAACTTATGGTGGGATTTCAGGGAAGCTGCCCAAGGGCTTGAACCTCCCTGTTTTCAGGTTCCAGGTGTAGAAACAATCAGAATGAGATTACTTAAAATTATAGTAGTGGGGAAAATGGTGAGCCTGAAAGATTTAATTAGGATCTTTTTTCTTAGAAAAACATGACCTGGGGGATTTGTGGGAACACTGCTAGGAGGGTCTGGTGCCCTTGTTCCTGTAAGGTTGAGTCTTTTCTTGGAGGAACTTTGATGGTGCATTATAGAAATAGAGGTAACCTAGGTTGTGGAGGGGGTCAGACTTTCAAGATGGGCAGCGTGTCTGAGTTAGCCAGCCTCAGACACAGTATTCATGGGCCCCTAGTGGAGATCCCTGGCTAAGAGTGCAGGAGTATCAGAAGACAGCAGAACATACTGAGAAAGGCTGGGATCTTGGGCATGAGAGYTCTTGGCATACTAGGATCAGTTCAGGAGCAGCTCCCTGGGGACCTTTGCAATGGAGACAGTGGGAATCCAAGAGAGGGAATCCTGAGTAAAGTAAGATGTATGTAGTTGGTAGAGGGAAGGTGGACAAGCTAGCTGGGTCAGTCTTCCTCCTGTTTGTAGATAAAGAAACTGAGGAATCTCTGAGCCAAGACACCCTCCATATTTTGTCAGTGACTGTATCCTTAGCAGGGTGTCCAGTGCCTGGTGCAGCCAGCATTTCTTTGAGTCTCAGAAGTCACTGACTGCAAGATACATTGTTTCATATACCACAGAGAAAGAAAAAAAAAAAACTACCAATTGATTGTAAGATGCTGATAGTTACAGGATTCATTCTGATTTCATGGATGTTAAATGTGAAAAAAAAAATTAGTAGTTTTGGGCTGGGGTTGTGGTCAGTGGTAGAGCACTCACCTAGCATGTGTGAGGCCCTGGGTTCGATCCTCATCACCTCACATAAATAAATAAAATAAATGTATTAAAAAATTAGTAGTTTAGAATTAGTAAAATGTAGTTGTAAGCACTCAAGAAATATTGGCTAATTAGGTGAATAAGGCATAGAGAGATTTGAATAAGGAAAGCAGTAGTATATACATTCAGGTGCTGCAGAGCAGTGATTTGATAAATGACAGGCTGCATGCAGGACAGTGGTATGCCACCCAGCCTGGGCATATGGCAGGCTATGCCATTTAAGTTTGGTTAAGTTTGCACTTTATGATGTATACACAACAATGAAATCACCCAACACATTTCTTAGACCTTGTTCCTATTGTTAAATGACAGATGACTGTATAAACACAAACTTAGGAATTCAAACTATTAAAACATGACCCTGCTCATCCTTGTTTTTCATTGATTCACTGATTCAGTTATTCAGTAAGTAATTATTGAAAACCAATTATATGCCAGACACTGAGCAAGGAGCAGAGAATGTAGAAATCAATAAGTTCGTTTTTTGTGTGATTAAGTCAGAAGCAATCACTATTACATGAAGTTGGCTTTTTCCTTCCTTCCTTTCTTTTTTTCTTAATTGGGATAAATATCCAGGAAGCAGTAACTGAACATCTGCTGGCTGACTTTGTTTTAGAATCCCCACGAGTGTCTTGGCCAAGGAAACATTATCTTTCTGAAGTTGAAGGGCACTGAGTGGCTTCACAGGTTGAAATTGGACTCCAGTGCCGAGCTCACCTGGGGAGCTGTGGCATGTGCACCTGCCTGTCATCTCGGGAGCTTGCTGCACTCTATGAAAGGCCAGTCTGGAAAATGAAAGGCCCTTGGAGATTTCTGTGTATCTCAGGCTAATCTGACCAAGGGGAATGAGAACAGCCACCAGGGCCAAGAAATTCCTGAGTGTTTTCTGGTCAGATTTCCTTGTAACTCATCAGGGGTCTGTAAGGAAAACAGATTGTCTAACAAATTCCTAATCTTGTCTCCCCCAGGGACTGCTTCCCAATTCCTAGTCACTTCATGACCGACTGCAATATATTTGCCTCTTCTGCAAACTGATAGAAGCTTTTAAGAAGGAAAGGAAAGTGTCTGAAACTTGGGTTTGCACAGATGTGGGACTTTGGGTCCAGGCTGCCTCCGTGTGAGGCTGGGTAAATTCCTTCACTTCTCAGAGACCTGTTTTCTTATCAATGTAATGTTTTATGATTGCAATAATGTACTTTTACTGTTTGTGAGGGCATGGACCTAGCATGAAGCATAAAGTAACATTCCTCTTGAAGTCTCACCTTGATCACCTGTTCGCTAGAGATTTAAATATGCTTCCCTTCTAGAGTCATAGTGAGGCATAGAGGGAAGCACCTTTCACACTGCCTGGTGCATAATAGATGCTCAGTAGCTAATTTGTTGAGTGACTAGACAGATTTGATAGGAAAGGTTCCTTTTTAGTACCACAGGAACTGTCCTGTTGATTTAGCTTCACTGAGAACAAGTTCTTCTCTATTGCATCCAGATTCTAAGTTCTCCTACCACCCTCTCTTTGCTCTTATCACACTTGTCATAGGTTTGCTTAGTTAGGTAGCTAAGTGCTTCATGTGACCCCTTTCAAAGAATCTAAATGCCATATCTGAGGCTGTGTCTGACTTGTTCACCAACTACTTAGCTTTGTGTGTCTAGAAACTTCTGTTGGACAAGTCCATAGTAAATGGCCGCTGCTTACATAGCCACAGAAGAATTTTGGTGGTGGTCTTTGTGGATTGGTCCTCATGTTGTGTTTGCACTTGCTCACTGCAGGTGGAGGGAGCACAATGTCTGGAGAAGAGGAGCCACGGAGCTACTACGTGGGCGTGGATGTTGGAACAGGCAGCGTCCGTGCTGCTCTCGTCGACCAGAGAGGGGTCCTTTTGGCCTTCGCAGACCAACCGATTAAGAAGTGGGAGCCTCAGTTCAACCACCACGAGCAATCCTCTGAAGACATCTGGGCTGCGTGCTGTGTTGTCACAAAGGTATGGGTAAAGCTGTGGCGTCCTCTCCTAGCACCTGCTCCTACACTGAGTGTCCACATGATGCCATGGACTCTGTTGGGGTACCTGGAGATGCAGAGCTGAGCCGCACATAGACCTTGCCTCCCGGAAGCTCACAGTGTAGTGGCAGAGACTGATAACACAGCTGAAATATGATGTGATAAGTGTCAGGAGCCAAGTAACAATGGCCAGAGCTAACCCGGAGTGGACTCTGGGAAGAGAGGAGAGGACGAGGAAGCTCGAGATGTGACCAGATGTGGAAGAAGCCACTGAGGATCGTAGTTGATCTCTACTGTGCTTTTGGGTGTAAAATGCGTTAACATGTATTGTGAGGTGGAAMCCTCACGACATTCCTGAACTAGTTAGTGTTTTGCTAACCCCGTTTGATTTTCAATCAAGAAGAAATGCAGGTGCAGAAAGTGAGGTAACTACCTAAGTTCATGTATTTGGTAAGTAGTAGAAACAAGACAGGAACCTAAGCAGGCTGCACTGTAATGGATTCTCCTGCCTCCCAAGTGGATAAGTGCGAGGAACTGCATTTGGTTCAGAGCATGTACAAGGCATGGTGGCATGAAAACATGGTATGTTCTGAGAGGGCAAGGAGATTGGGTCAAACCAGAGCAGCTCTGATATGTGTTAGATAGATGTTCATCTTGAGTGGTCTTGGATTGTATTGAGCATGCTGGCTTGGTGAAGGAATTGATGCTGGACAGCACTTGTTCACATTTAAAGTTTCACTTGTTGGTTTGACTTTATATACTGGTAATCAGGAATATCAGACTTCCTTTTATCTTACCCCCGACCCCCCAGATGGAAGAATAAAGTCCTGGATTCCTTCTTATCCCTGTTCCTAGTTAGCTTCCTTAAATATTCATGAGGTGCTTGGTAATTTGCAGATGGACAATTCACCATTCTGTCCATATCGATCAGTCTTTTTAAATTTTCATGAGCTCTGGGCTGCTGTTAGTGCCCCTGGAGAAGAAGGCAGAGAGAGGAGGGGGAGGGCAGCACAAGAGCATTATAAGGAATGGAAGAGGGGCATCTTATCTTCTGCTTGTTTAATTGTCCTCTCCACCCTTCCTCCTCACCCCCGCCTTGGTGAGAGTCTTCTGCTTTTTGCCCTTGGGTCTCCTTTGTTCTTCTAACATATAGTTTTCTTTCCATTAAGGAAATAGTCAAGAAGAAAATATAATCCCCTGATGAAAAGCTCCTTTACAAAAGGTCTACTCTAAGTACAGCTTGGTTTAATGGTAGCTGGCGGCCAACTCATCATCGGCTAGAGCCCGTCAGCCCCATAAGTGCTGGGGCATTTGTCCTTCGTGATTGCATCTTGCAACGGCAACCTGAGTACAGCTTTTGGTTCTTGGCCATTTCCCTCACATGGGTTTGTGACCAGATGCCAGAAGCCACAGGATAAGCATGCYACATCTATGGGGACATCATGGCTGGTATGAAGTAGCATGCCACAGGACATACATTCTGAGCCAGACCACCCAGATTGACATCCTCGTTCCAACAGTTGTGAGCCTGTGATCTTAGACAATACTTCATGTTTCTTACCTCAGTTAGCTTACCTATGAAATGAGACTGGTAATAGTAACCTCCATAGAGTTATTGTGAGGATTCAATGAATTAATGCATATAAAATACCATAAGAGTGTCTGGAAATGAGCAATCACTGTGTTTCCTATTGTGGTGAGTAGATTGTGGAGGAGAATAGAATGAAGTAACTCAGCCATCAACACCCCAGATCAATCCCCAGAACAAACAAACAAACAAAAGAATGAATTTCTGAGATAAAATCTGGAGTAGTCAGAAGTCCAAGAAGGAGACACTCTTGGGAATATTCACCTATTTCTCTCTGTTTGGGGCTCCTTCTGTATAAGATTTTGAGAAGCTCTGTCTTAGGGCAAAGGGTGGCCTAGTACATCCTGACCTGTCTTCTCTTTCTCTTGGACTCCAGCAAGTTGAGGGCAATTGTTTACTTCTGGTTCCCTAGGGTGTTCACTTTGTGGGAGGTGATTTTTCTCCCTCAGTTATGATGATGATGATGATGATGATGATGATAATGGTGATATTGTTGATACTATTATGATGACAATAAGGACAGCTTATATTCGTTGCTCATTAATTATGTTCCAGATACTATGCTGGGTCCTTTATACCCATCACTTCATTTTATCTTTACAAGTATCTTTTGAAGTAGCTTTTATTCTTTGTCTTAAAGGTGAGAAATAAAAGGGCTTTGAAAAAGTTCAGTAGCCAGCAGAGTTCTCATAAGGAGTAAGAGCCAGTGCTGGGTGCTGCTCTAGTCACCACTGCCCCTTGTCTGTCTCTCCAGCTGCATCCACTTGCATGATGCATGCCTGGGAATTGCATAGGCCAACCTGAAACTTGCTGGACTTGCTGCAGGGTGGGGCGCCTGAGCTGAGGTGCAGCCATGCTAGACTACACTGCCTTGTCCTGGCTGTGTGCTCATGTATGAGATGTGTGCCCCTAAAGTTGGCAGGTCTTTATTGGGCCCATATCTAGCACACCTAAAAAGTTCTGTAGAAACATGCAAGTCCTGGAGAACATGTATTAGTCCTTGATTTTAAAATCTGCCTTTTTGGAACCACAAATCTTAATCATTCCAACAAGGCAGGGGACATTGCAAAGTTAATGTATGAATAGGATTGAATTTCCTTTAGGAAGAAGGAAAAGATAAGCTGGAAGAATCATTTAGCCATCAGACATTTGTTGGGTATCATATTTTTATTTAATCTGCAAACATTTTTTTGAGTACCTACTATGCACTTAATTCTTCTTACGTCCTGGTACCTATATGGGAAAAGTATACAAGACGTTTTCTGCTCCTACAGATTAAACAGCTTTTATTTGCATGGAAAACAAAAGCAAAAATACATATGAAGCTAGTGAGGTGCCATTTGTTCTGGGTTGGTACCTGCTACATGAGAAATGGTTGTGGGAAGAAGGGGGCAGAAGAGAGAGGAATCCACATGGGGTTGAGCAATAACATTAACTTTGTACATTCATAGAATTATTAAAGTTTACAGAGCATCTTCATATCCATTATCTATTTGACCACATTTGACCATCTTTACAAGTTAAGTATTTATTGTTGTTTCCCTTTATAGGTGAAAAGAAAAACTGAGAGCCAGATGGTTAAGTGACTCTCCCAAGGTCACTCAGATAGTATTTGACAATCCTGGACCCAGACTGGTCAAATCTATGCATTTTCTTCACCTCCAGCGCCATAGACCTTTATTTTTTGCCTAGACTATTTTAAGGCTGCTGATGTCCTTGTATTTCTTTTCCCTTCGATGATCTTTTCTTGACAACTGGAGTGACTCTTTTTCTTGAATGCGAAATTGATCATATTGCTCTTTTGCTTACAGTGCCTTGAGAGCATCACACTAATGTCGGCTAGAAGTAAAATATGGGACCTGCCTGGAGGATGCTTCCTATCTGCCCCTGACCTGTTGTCCTGTTCATGTCCCGATGCTTCTCCAGGCTCTCTGGGCTCTAGCCACCCACTTCATCCTCAGACCTGCACACTGATCCATTCCCCTGCCTGCACACTCACCCTGCCTTCCCCTAGCACACCTGGACTAGAGCACTGGCAGAGAGAGGCAGGGAGGGGTGACCCTGAGAGGCTCTGGGAAGGAAGGTCTCCTGGGACTTGGYGACAGTGAAGAAGGGGATTGAGGCAATGTCAGTTTCAATTTTTGAAGAACATGGGGTTGCTGATATAAACGGAAGGCTTTGACCTTGGTTTCTTTGCCTTACCATCCAGGGATAATACCACACCTAAGCTCACAGGCTGTGTAGGTATTAGCTTGGGATGGGATTTCCTCKTTTCTCCAGTCACTAGAGTAGGTTTTGCACAGTTGATTGCCAGCACGACCTTCCCTGTAACAGGTACCCTGCATAAGCCCTGTTAGTCTTCCTTGCTTTTCCCACCTCACTTTGGGACATGGATTGTGCATGTCAATTGTACAATTTTGGGCTTTGCAGTGGCTCTTCCCCTGGTGGGATCACTCCTCCACAGGTTTTCACAAGGCCTTCTCCTTGATCCTTCAAGGTCTTCCTTAAATCTCATCTTCTTAGGGACCACGCTCCCTTCTCTGGCACTCATGATTCCTCTGATCAACGCTTTCTGGTATATTACTTCTATACTACATAGTTTAGATGATTTATTGGCTATTGTCTAGCCTCACTAAAATGTAATATCCAAAAAACCAAGGATTTTTTAAAAAAAAATGTGTTTCTCTCCATTGTTTCCCAAATACCTAGAAGAGAGCATAGCTGGACCTTAGAAGGGGCTTCATTATATTTTCTGAGGACTGACTAAGTGAGGGTTTAAGTGTGTAGGCAACAAAGAAGGATGGAGCCCAGGGAATGGGGATTGCATAACTCCACGCCTGGCCCTGAAGCTGACAAAGGCATTCAAATCCATATTTAAAGGAATACAGTACCAGCCATAAAGACATGTGTTGCAAGCTGGATTCTGTCTGAGAGGCATAGGATTTGACCCTTGCTCTAAATAGAGCTAAAAATAAAACCAGGTATGCATGTGACCTTCTGGTTCTCAGTTTGGAAGGTTTCTAAGAGACACTACCTCCCCACCCAATATGGCAGAGTTTGCTGATTCAAAACACATGCAGGATTGAACCAGTTCCCACAGAAAGAACAAAGAGATGCACAATCCTTTCCCCAAATATTTGTTTGCTGCCCCAGAGCTACGAGTTGACAGTTGTTAGACATGGACCAGGTTACCAAATGAGTTTGCAGAAATCTCCTTCTCTGGAAATTCTTTAGAAGAGCAATGTGCTTTCTCTCTAGCCAGGGAAATTCTCTTGATGCCAAGTTGTTGGGGGTGAGTTTACTAAGCTGCTTTCTTTTCCCATTAATAAGAATATAAATAAAAATCCTCAGGTCACCGGGTCAAGCTCCAGAGAACTTCTGGGTAGTGTGACCCT